AAAAAAAAATTTTTTTTTTTAACTTTTTTTAAAGATTTATTCATCTTAGAGGGAAAGAGTGGAAGGGGCAGAGGGAGAGGGAGAGAGAACTACAAGCAGACCCCACGCTGAATGCATGATGGGGGGGTCTCGATCCCAGGACCCCAAGATCATGACCTGAGCTGAAACCAAGAGTCAGACACTTAACCGACTGCACCACCCAGGTACCCCAATATTCTGCCATTTTTATATCATTTATACTTTCACCTACTCCCTACCACTTCATTCTATCATCATCAATACATGGTTCTTTTTGGTAATATTTACATACATTGAAGTGTACAACTTTTAGCTGTGTACTTCTGACAAATGGATATTATGGTATAGAACATTTCCAAGGCCCCAGAAAGTACCCTTGTATCCTTTCTCAGCCAATGCTTAGCCTATAAGAAATATTAACTGTTGTGATTTTTTTCACCTTAGTTTTTCTTTCTCTAGTGTTTTTTTTTTTTTATTATTATTGCTGAATAGTAATCCATTGTGTGAATGTAACACCAGGTTTTCATTTTTTAATACTGTAAATAAAGCTGCTATGAACGTGGCTATACAAATCTTCTTGTGGACAAATGTTTTTTTCTTTTGGATAAAGACATAGAAAAGGATTCTGTCAAATAATTGGCATATACTTAACTTTATAAGAAATTGCCTTTTTACATTCCCATTAGCAATGTATGAAAGTCCCAATTGTTCCACATCCTCACTCACATGTAATGTTAGCAGTCTTACTAGTTTTATCTGTTCTAGTCATTGTGTAGAGGTATTTCCTTATGGTTTTAATGTGAATTTTACTGATGACTGATGATGATGAGCACTTTTTCATGTGTTAATTGGCCATTTGTATACACTCCATTGTTAAGTATTTGTCTTTGCCCATTTTTAAATTGAGTTATCTTTTTTACTATTAAGTTGTACAGCTCTGGGATTTAGATAGGAGTGGCAATGAACCTACAGAGGTATTTGTGGAGGACTGGAATCTTAACAATACTGAGTCTTTCAATGCAAAAATGATAATATGCATCTCCATTTATTTAGGTCTTCTTTAATTTCACTCAGTAGTGCTCTGGAGTTTTTAATATAGAGGCACTGCACATCTTTTGTTTAATCCTAAGTATTTTGTGTTTATTGATGTATATTCTACTGTGTATTTTACTACACCAAATTCCACATTTTTCTCAATGTTCTCATTACTTGAAATGTTTGAGTCTCTGAGGGGACCCAATAAATGGCATCCCTTTTCTCTGCATTAGGTCTAAACAAGTTAATAAATAAATAATATAAGGTGTAGTAGCTGAAGGCCAAAATCCCATTTTTTGTTACTAACAGTGGCAAAGTTTGTGGATATAGCTTAGTGTGAGATCTAAATGGTCCTCCTCACTGAGCATCAGGACTAAATAAATTTGTCAGCCAGTCAGAGGTAACTGGATTAGGGCAGGTTTTCCCATATGGGAAGAGGAAGAAGGATGGCTAACCATTATTTCTTATTTCTATTCTTTCCTTCTTTGCTCTTGAAAAGGTCCCTTCTTTAATAGTTCTTCTAGTGAATCCTGTGGGTAAAAAATGCTTGATCTTGATATCTATGAAACTCTGTTTTGCCTTCATTCATGTTTCCTTTTTTTTTCAAGATAGATTTATTTGAGAGAGAGAGCACACAGGGGGGGAGGGGCAGACGGAGAGGGAGAGAATCCTCTCAGGCTGACTACCTCCTGAGCTCAGAGCCTGAGGTGGGGCTTGATCCAGGGACCCCGAAATCATGACCCACATGAAAACCAAGTGTCAGGCGCTCAACCGACTTGAGCCACCCAGGCACTGCCATTCATGTTTCTTGTTTATAAAAATCTAGACTACCAATTTCTTGTATTTTTCCTTTTTTTTTTTTTTTTAGTTATCATTATTGGTCCATGCAAGACTCATATTTTTGTTTGTTCATTTACTTGTATATTGATCCTTTTTTAACTTCTTCCTCATTTCCATCTCTCCTCACAATCATTATAATGTGCTTGAATGTGTACTTTTTAATTTGAATGTATTCTTGTAAAATGGGTTATGTACACATCCTAATATATAAAAATGATACGGTGTTGTAGATTTTATTTCTGAGTTTTTGGGTGTTTTTCACTCAGCCCTTTGTTTTCAGGTTCTATATATGTTGCTATGTATGCATCTGTTCTGTTGTTTGATTACACATCATTCTTTAGTGTTTAATTCTTTGAAGATAGAATCCCCATGTCTTAGGGCATCTATTGTAGTCAATGAGAAGTCTGGGGACAAACTATCTCTCCTTTCTGAGGAAGCTTTATGGTCTTTTGAATCTTTTAGAGTGTTCTATTTAACCTTGATGCCCTCAGGCTCTCTAAGATGTGTTTTGGTAGAGTACTGTCATTCTGAAGATTCATGTCTTCCCTCAGTTCTAGAAAATTTTAAGCTATTATCCCTTCAAATATTTCCTTTAAGCCATAATTTCTTCTTTTTATCTGTTTCTTCTATTGGGTGTTATTCTTTATAGGTCTTAATGGCTCATTTTTATCTCTGTTTTTCTGTGCTATCTTTTCAGTAAATTCCTCAGTACAATCTTCCAATTTATGAATTCTCTTTTCAGTTTTGTCTAGAGTTCATCCCAGCTATTGAGATTTGTTTTTTAATATCCAGTGACTCTTTCTTTCTTTCTTTTGTAATTTCCAAGATTTCTAATTGGTTCTTCTTCATAGTCTCCTAACTTCTTGTCCTTTTTAACAGTTACCATTCTATAATTTTTCTCTTTGGCACCCTAAATATATATAATTATTATACTTTTCTATAAAATCATTTTTTTTTTAAGATTTTATTTATTTATTTGACAGAGAGAGACACAACGAGAGAGGCAATACAAGCAGGGGGGAGCGGGAGAAGGAGAAGCAGGCTTCCCGCTGAGCAGAGAGCCCGATGTGGGACTCGATCCCAGGACCCTGGGATCATGACCTGAGCTGAAGGCAGTCGCTCAACTGACTGAGTCACCCAGGCGACCTCTATAAAATCATTTTTATCTGGAATGAATTCATGTTCCAAATGTTGATTTTGTTGGTTGAATTTTATAGGCTCATTGTGAGTACAGAATCTTTAATTCTAAAGGAAGCAAAACAGACTGATGGTAATACGCAGACTGATGGAAGCACTAAAATCTTCCTGAGAAAAATAATCTGTAAAGAGTTTTGACTAAATATAACATAATTGTTTGATGCAATTAAGAAAATACATTAGACAAGTTTGTTGTTTAATATTAATGTAGTACTCCTGATTACTCTGGCTCCCAATCTATAACTTTTCTTACAAACACAATCAGCATGTCCTCAAAGAATCAGAGTTTGTTAATGATTTCAACTAATGATATGAAACAGTCCAAAATGTCAACAAATTTTTTCTCTGCAGTGGGATAAAGGGTGATAATTTTCTGTAGTTTCCAAATTTACTAAAAGTAACATGTATAACTAGCTTTTGCATAACTATTATTATTTTGAAAAATGTTTACTTGATTATTAAGTCCATTTATATCTTTTTGGTTTTGTCTTTTTCGTATTTCATTTATTATTATGCAGCACCAGCAAGCCCTTATCCAAAGGTGAGAGTCATTCGTTCATTCATTGTTAAAGTACACATTAAGTAGTTATACTTTTATACGTCAATTTTACTTATGAATTAGTAAATGTATAAAAGAAGTCTGAGAAGTTAAAAGTTATTACAAGAACCATGTATTAATATCACATGTACATTATTTACAAGGGAGCTCCTATTCCCCTCTTGCCAACAATCTCACACCTATTAATAACAGAAATAAGATTAGAATTCAGGTGTGCTAGGTCCACAAGTGAAATATTGAAGAAAAACAGAGATCTTAACAGCATGAGACAAGGAAATGTCATTCCAAAAATAGGCTGAAGAAGGAAAAGGTAGATTGGTGATAAGACTGTAGAGTTCTCTATATTTTATTTAATAGGTAATGTGGAGCCAATAAAGGTTTTTGAGCAACAGAAAGATTAAACAGACAGCTCATAACAAGCTTTCCACATTCCAGACATAATCTAATAAGAATGAGGACCAAGGATTTGAAGGAAGAAGGCCCTGGCTGGCTCAGTCAGTAGGGCGTGTGACCCTTGATCTCAGGGTCGTGAGCTCAAGACCCATAATGGGTGTAGAGATTACTTAAATTTGTTTAATTAAAAAATAAAAAATAATAGTAAAACTAAAGGGGTGCCTGGCTGGCTCAGTCAGTGGAGCATGTGACTCTTGATCTCGGAGTCATGAGTTTGAGCCCCACATTGGATGTGGAGATTACTTAAAAAATACATTAAGGAAAAGGAAGTGAACTACAGAAGAAATTATATTTTTGAAAGAATGGCTGAAAACTATATTTCAAATCCTTTTAATTAAAGTATCAAACACTAAATTTTTACATTAAAAAGATATTAAAGCTAATCTCCTATGAAATTTAAGAATATTTCCAACTTCACTGCATACTTCAGGCGAGCACCTCTTCCAGTCCTCTGCTATGCCCAACCTTCCCAAGTGCACAGCCTTTCATATTATGAGGATCAAATGGGATAACATATGCAAAATTGCTTTGAAAAATATAAAGTTGTGGGGTGTCTGGCTGGCTCATTCGGTAGAGCATGCAACTCTTGATCTCAGGGTTGTGAGTTGAAGCCCCACATTAGGCACAGAGCTTACTTAAAAAAAGAATAAAGTTGAATGCAAGTATAAGACATTCTTTTAATTATTACATATGGCCTATAAATATACGTGATCTTAGCCAAAAGGCTGAGAAGTGATTACATATAGCCTATAAATAAACAAAACTATATAGGATGTAAATTTTTAAAACCTGAAACTCTTATTTATTTAACTGACATAATTTTAAAACTCAACATTGAGAAATAACCTGGAAGAGGTTATTCAGATATTAAAAAACAAGGTGTTCTGTTAAAAATGCAGATTGACCTCATGCATATATCTGCTTTCCCTTCCCTAACCCACTAAAATAACAGTAAAAGTATAAAACAGAAATGTAAGCAATTAACTCATAAGTATAGGGAGAGTAAGTATAAAGACAAGAGCAGATGAGAGACTTCAGTACATATTTGGAGAGAAAGTTGTCTGCTAAGCAACTAACAGAGGAATACTAATAAGCAATGAGTTAATTACCTTGCAGAATATCTGAAAGACTTACCATTTGGAAGTGGAAGAAGGATTCATTGAAGTCTGTATACAGCTGGCTGGACCCTGAGGCCCCTTTCTAATCTGTGTCACTCAATGGGAGTTGAAGAAATTGAACCCAGAGAGTTCTGGACTTGGGCAAGAAAACACAGCAGAAGACTTGGCCTAAAAACAAAATGATAAAGTGAAAGTCCACATACTAAACTGTTGAATGTTAAGCACTTTTCCCATTCTTTGCTCACCAGTAGCAAAGCATTCTCTCTCTCTCTCTCTCTCTCTGACACACACACACACACACACACACACACCTTTCCATTCCTCAGAAAAGACTGTAACATTCTTTTTTCTGGAAAGAATTAAAAGCTCCAGAGAAAAGGAATATGTCATTTGGACATTATAGAAGGATGACTCTTTGCCTATTCACTGTAGAACAAAATTCGCCAGTTGACAAGCTCACTCATACATACAAAGCTTCTGATTAGTTTTGTTATAGTCTTCCTCTTAAATATAAATGGAAACCCAAAGATCAACAGATATGAGGAAAGTCTCCATCAAGAAAGACCTCTGACCTAAACCAACAAATAGAAAAAAGAAAATAGCTGAGGGAAATTAAGACAATATAGAAAGGAAACAAAACAAAACACAACCCTCTAACTAATACTCTCAAAGAGGAATAATAAAAGAATAAGAAAGGGGTCTCTGGGTGGCATGGTCGGTTGAGCATCTGACTCTTGGTTTTGGCTCAGGTCATAACCTCAGGGTTGTGAGACTGAGCCCCATGTCAGGCTCTGAGCTCAGCATGGAGTCTGCTTGAGATTCTCTCTCCCTCTGCCCCACCCCCTGCTCACACACACTCTCTCTCTCAAATAAATTAATCTTTAAAAAAAGAATAAGAAAGAACCCTTGAGGAAAAGATAGGATAGCTGAAATTTTTTAAAAATTTAATAAAAATGTTGAAAAATAACTGAAGGACCTAAATTTCCATCCAAAAAGAGATTTACTCCAAAAATGCATCATTGTGAACTTTCAGGAAACTGGGTGTAAAAAGATCCTAGAAGCTTTAAGAGAAAAAGTAGATTATGTACAAAGTATTGGGAGTCAGGAAAAGAAATTTCTCAAAAGTAGCAATGCAATATAGAAGACCAAAATCCAACCCAGAAGAGCAAAGATGGAAAGGCTCAGGATGACAGCTGCATAGAACAAGTAGCTCAGGGGCACCTGGCTGGCTCAGCTAGGAGCATATTTAACTCTTGATCTTGGGGTTGTGAGTTTGAGCACCACGTTGGGTGTAGATATTACTTAAAAATAAAATCTTTAGGGGCGCCTGGGTGGCTCAGTCATTAAGCATCTGCCTTTGGCTCAGGTGATGATCCCAGGATCCTGGGATCGAGGCCCACATCAGGCGCCCGGCTCGGTGGGAGGCCTGCTGCTCCCTCTCCCACTTCACCTGTTTGTGTTCCCTCTCTCGATGTCTCTCTCTCTGTTAAATAAATAAATAAAACCTTTAAAAAAATAAATAAAATCTTAAAAAACAGAAAAAAAGGAACAAGCAGCCCAAATTTAAGCAGGAAGATGGACTCTGGAAAAGAGACCTCTGGGTGGGCTTCTGGGTGGCTCAGTTGGTTAAATGTCTGCCTTCTGTAAAATGTCTTATTTATTCACTTGAGAGAGAGAGCACAGAGGGAGAGGGAGAAGCAGACCCCCACTGAGCAGGGAGCCCAATGTAGGGCTTGATCCCAGGACTCTGGGATCATGACCCAAGCAGAAGGCAGCTGCTTAGCTGACTGAGCCACCCAGGAGCCCCATTATCTTTAAATTAGAGAACTCATAAGTGAAAAGACAAACTCACCATTTGAAAGATAAGGACAAAACAAGAATAGGCAATTCACAAAAGAACTTCAAAGATCCAATGAATACACAAAGATGTTATTTAATCTCTTTTGTAACTCAAGAAGCACAAATGAAAGAAAAATATGTTTATCTGTTAGATGAGCAATGATTTTAAAGGTTAACAGCTTCTGGGAAAGAGGGGGAAATCCATGCACGTTTGCATAATTCCTTTCGCTGACCAAAACAGAACCAAAATTAGAGAAGGAAACCCCTGTGCAAATAGCCACATCTCACAGCACTGATGCCAACGAATAAGTCTCAGATACAATGAGGTTTGCATCATCGTTAAAGAGGATGTCCAAATCTGCCATGCATCTCCTCTAATCTCAAACAGATTCAGTTTCAGCAAATTGAGTGGGTCCTGAAGAACAATTCCATAATCAATCACTAACTTGAAAACATGAGTCCTTAAAGGCATAGGAGTCAGACTTATGGAGGAAGCAGACAGCATTCTACTTGGTACATATCTCCCTATCACAGTCTGGCAAAGAAGACATAAAGAAAAGCTCATGATGTTTAAGGTGGGGGATATTTCTTCTAGTTTCCATGAGGACAGAGTTTCCATAAATCTTCCTAGCATCTTGCCCCTCTACCCCTTAAGTGAGAAACCTGACTGGCAAGTTCACCATGGTCCACATTTTTTGATTGGGCAGAGCTAATTTACCGAAGTCTTAGGTAAGTATGTCTATTACAAAGACCCAAAGTTTCCCTTGGTTGGGTTATTCCAGGTCTGGGCTGGGGAACAGACATATTAGAAGACCACCTATACCATAAATATCTTCCAACAGCTCTCTCAACAGTAAAGCTGATATTTTATCTCCATCTGCCTAAGCTCCTTTGACCACATCTGAATTGGTTCCAATCTCAGGAGAGAACAAAAGAGCCAAGAGGTATCATGCACTTGGCTCCCTAAAACTTACAGTTGCCATGACATTTTTTATTTTCCTTGCCAGGAGCCAAAGCATGGCTGTAGAGAAACAGAAAAAGTAAGCTAGTGGTCAACCCTGCATAGCAGACTGAAGTAGATCAATCAGAGATATGTCAGCATTGATCTGCCTCCAGAATGAATGTTTACCATATGCTGTGGGAACCTGCTTAGAGAGAGCATATGACAACTGTGTCACCAAGCAGCCAGTTTAAAGAAGAGAGATCACATCAATGTGTTCAGTCTCTTGTCTCAGCCTCTAGGCAGCTATTCCAATGGCTTATGCCATTCTTGGGTAAAGAGCAGGCCAGAACACAACTTTTCAACAATAAATAACATAAAAAAATAGGACTGCAAAAAAGGAGGAGGGATCATAATGTGGAAGAGAGAAAATAACCCACACATTTGGAGAACTGCTTCATAAAATAGAATTTTAAAGAAAAACTGCTTTGCATCAAATAAATAGAACATAACTCCATAAAACAGATTTTTAAAAAGAGCTGAAAGAAACAAAAGATAAAAAGAAAAAGAGAGAAAAAATACCACAGTACTTGAAATCATGTTAGAAACAACTCCAAGTAGAGAAGATACTTCAGAAAACCAAGTTAATAATATGGATGACAAGCCAGGGAAAATCATTCAGAATGAACATGACAAAGGTGGTTAAGAGTCTAACAAAGTAGTCAGAACAAAGATAGATTTGTAAGATAAACAACTGAAATCTAACATAAGTAATATTCTTAGACAAACAATATGGAACAGCCAAAATATTCAAGGATTTAGAGGTGAAAAACTGAAAGGTCTTGTCATGTATCAGGAAAAATTAACAGGAAATGATCAAGATTTAAGATATATTATGGAGTGTTGCCAAATATTAAGGATAAAAAAAAGATGCTTTTAGCATCTAGAAGAAACAGGGCCACCTACAAATTAAATAATTTATGCTGGCCTCAGACATCTCCTCAGCAACATTAGACAATGGATACAAGTGTTTTCTGTGTACAATGTGAAGTGAAAAAGAATATGACATGGGGGCTCCTGGGTGGCTCAATCAGTTAAGCGTATGCCTTCGGCTCAGGTCATTATCCCAGGGTCCTGGGATGGAGCCCTATGTCGGGCTCCCTGCTCAGTGGGGAGCCTGCTACTCCCTCTCCTTCTGCTGCTTCCCCTGCTTGTGATCTCTTACTCTCTCTGTTAAATACCTAAAATATTAAAAAAAAAACAAAACGAATATGACATGTAATTTTCTACTTAGTGAAATATAATTTTAATGGATATTTAAAATTCCATTTAATGGATGTATTATAATTTACTAAAATGGTCTACTATTGATGGATATTTAGATGGTTTCTGGAATATTATTAAACCATGCTGAATAAAAAATAAGAATAAACATATGTGTATTATTTAAAATACATGCAAGTTTATCTATAAGATAAAATCCTGCAAGTATATTGGCTGAATCAAAGGGTATATACATTTAACATTTTTCATTTTCCTAAATTGTCCTCCATAAAGATTATACTGATTTTTATGCCCACCAGTAATGGAGGAAAGTGCTTGTTCACTGCAACTCAGCACACTGTTATTAAATTTCTGATCTTCCTCAACCTTAAAGATAAAAATTATTTTACGGTAACCTAATAATTTGGAATTATCTTACCATATTTTTAAAAAGATTTATTTATTTATTTGAGAGAGAGCATGCACATGAGCGGGGGCAGAGCCAGAGAGAGAGGGAGAGAGAAAATCCTTAAGCCCTGACTCCCCAGTGAGTGCAGAGCCTGACATGGGGCTGCAACTCACAACTCCAAGATCATGACCTGAGCCACAACCAAGAATTGGATGCTTAACTGACTGAGCCACCTGGGCACCCCATCTTACCATATTTCATCCATTGAAGACACCATCATTTGAAAGGTACACCATTATTTTATATACCTCTATTTAAGAAAAAGATCTATAAAGTAAACTGTTTCAAATCATTAATTTTCAAATACATAAAAAATTCAGATTTCAGAAATAATTTCAGAGATGTGAAAATATGAACAGGTGCTTCTTAGAATCAATGAGATATGATATATAAGAAAGGCTGAGTATCTGGAAAGGTCTTTTAAATATGCAAGGATCAGGAATATAGCACATACAAATGCCTCCCAGAACAAATAAGCAAAACAACTAAATTATTTGAAGCCACAATCCATACAACTAAAATGTATTTTTTTAAAGTTCTTTTTTAAGATTTTATTTATTTATTTGAGAGAAAGAGAGAGAGAGAGCACAAGTGGTGGAGAGGCAGGTAGAGAGGGAAAAGCAGACTCCCCACTGAGCAGGGAGCCTGACATGAGGC